ACAAAAAAAATCATAGTTGACATGGTTAAAATATAATTTATCCATCTAACAGCAGGATTCGGGGGTTAAAATATAATTTATGAAACTACCACATCACCTTCCCGAATATCAATCAGAGACGGGGTTATGTGCCCGGGTGATACGTGTGAATCTGACCGCAGGATTCGCATCTTGCAATTGTCTGGGGCCCAAAAAATTGGTCCAACTACAGAGAATCATGAAACAAAAGCAAAGTTTGTTTTCTGTTCTAGTAATGAAGTGTAACTGCAATTTGGGCGGGATGAGATGCTAACTCGACTCTAATATAGGGATGGAGTTAGAATTTTTTTGGGGGGGTTAAATAGTGGTATAATAATATATTTTTATTCAATGTAAATTATTCAATTAGATCGTTACAGTTACATGCATAGAACGTATAAAAATCAATATCACACGTTATATTATAATCATTATTTTCTATAAAATGAATAAAATTAATTGAAAGAAGTCGAATTATTAGATGTAAACGTTAAATCAATTGCATTATTAATAATTTAAAATATTATAAATTTTTCAATTTTATACAATTTCAAAATTTAACGATTTATTCAAAATGTCACAGTTTTAAAATTGAGGGGGCCATTGCCCCCTTGGGCCATAACATGACTCCGCCACCGGTCTAACCCAACCCAATTTCTACCCAAACATTAACACATTTAACCTTTTTATCTAACTCGCACAAGTTTTTTGGAAAAAATATTGGATGAAACTGTTACACCACGTTAACAATGTCATATTATGTAATTGTTCAATAATAAATAAATAAGTCAACAAATAGGTCCTACTAAAACTCAAAACCATTAAACTATGTAATACATAACCACCTCTATAATAGAAGTGGGCCCTATTTTATTCTTTTTGTAATTTTCGTATTAGATAGTTGCACCCAATATTTACTTAAGTGAGTTTGCTTTCTTTATATACAAGGGGAGGGAGAGACCCTTTTTGTTTTTAAACGATTTGGAAGTCCAAGTTAGACACCTTCTTTTGTTCTTTATTCAACATCTCACACACTCATCAAAAAACTTTTATAGCCACTTCCCAGTTGGGCTAAACATCCCAAGTGAGTTCAACAAGGAAGCTTGTGCTCCCTCTAGTGCTAGAAATGCAAGTTATTTATCAATATACAAGTATTTTAAAACATTTATATAATAAAATAGAACGATTTTAAATTTTGGAGACAAAAAGTTACTTAAATCGTTTCTTGACCAAAAAAGACATCATCCAACGGATGACGTTATCTTAAACTATTGACGTCTCAGATCGTTTTAATTCAACATATCAAAATAACTATACACTATTCCTGCAGTATATTAAAATTCAACTTAATTTGTTGTCAATATGTCTTATAGCTCATTTGATTTGTTGCCAATTTTATATATAATTTGGCTTAGATTGTACTTAAAAGTAAGTCCGTCTTCTCGAAGTGGTGCAGATAGTTGCTGAAGATATGTTTTAGGTTTGGAAGTGATAATGATGGTGGTCTTAGTGATGATAGTTAATATCGAAGTTGTGATGGATGAGTAGTGGTGGGGTAAAGCTCTTGGGACAAATTTGTGTAACATAAAATTAACTTAGTTGATGAAATTTAGTTTGAATTAAATGGCAAAATTAATTTAAATAGTTGATTTGATTAGATTTAATTTCAATTTGAGTACAAAATTTGATTAGTTATTAAAATTTAGGCTAAGTGGTAATAATGGTAATTGTGGTATTAGTGGTAATAGTTATGTATAATTGTGTTTTTGGAGAATTTTGCTTGATGACATGTTATCTCTCCACGAATATGTTTAAGTATGATATATGAAAAACATCTTTACTTGATATAAGACTTGCAAATCTTCATATTTTGGTAGGATTTTATTTTTAGAGAGAATTTAGCTGTAATTGTTTGAAAGAATAGAAAAAAAATATTATATTTAAAGGCATGCACATTCTCTAAATTATCCGCATACTATGAGGACAAAAAGTGTAATTTAACATGATAGAATGTTAAAATTTTAGTTTTAATTGATTTAGGTTTTGTTGATGTTGTTTATTATATTTTTTGTTACAATTCATCCCTTAATCTCTCTTCCTTGCTTTCTATCTCATATTTATTTGATTGTGTTCATATTACAATGATTTTTGAATTTATTATCATTTAGATATCAATTAATAATTAAACGGTCATTAAACAATGTTTGAGATTGTTTTGATTTGTATTCTATCAAATTTTTTGTAAAGAAATAATGGACCCATGTTATATATATATCAATATTTTTTCTTAGTTTTTTTAATTGGTAATTTTTTATGGCATACAGTCTCTTAATGCAGATGTATTTGAATGCGATTTTTTTGTTTGTTACGTCGTCCCTTCGTGCATGAACAATTATTAGTAATTATTAATTTACGACATTTTTAAATATATTTATCAAATTATTGTACTTTTTAAAAAGGGAGCCAACAAATCCTTGCGTTTCTCACCACCCCTGTTTTTGGTTCTCCCATGGTTTTTCCGCTTCTCTCTCTTGCGAATTCTCTGTTAATTTCTCTTCTCTTCTTCTTTTCTTCAGTTCTTGCCCCATCTAATCCCTTGTAGTATATGAATTTGAGCGCAAAAATAGGGATTCATTGGTTAGATTCTAATGTAAAAATCTCAGCCCCTAGCTGCCTCCTAAGGCCTGTGATTCATGTGACCAAAGCTTCACAAGATTCCAAGGTTAGCGAAGAAAACAAGTGAAGAAGAACCAAAGTAGCAGAATCTGAGATAACTCCACCGGACATTGCACTTCAAGAATGCCCAGCCAACCTTTTTGAGAAAACGGGATTGTTAAACCCGCTTTGTATAACTATGACCTATTTATTAAAAAGCCTGATCTTTTATGAACTTGGTATTATTCACCCCGCTTTTCCTCAAAAAACGTAATTGTTGACTCTAGTTTTATTATGAAAATGGAGTTGTTGACTCGGTTTTTAAAAATACTACAAATTTATAAATAAATTTAAAATTATCATAAATTTGGTAAATAAATTTAAAAAGTTCTATATAATAATAGTAAATAACTCTAGAAAAGCTCATTCATGAGTGAGTGTGTTACACACACAATACACATTATTTTATTTTGTAGCCCTTTATATAAATATATCTTTTAATGCATAAGGATTAAATATATTTTAATTTGGCAGGTTGAATTTGAGTTGAACCTGATTTAATAATTTGGCTCTAATTTGAGTTGAACCTGTGAACATGGCTCATTCGAGTAGAAGATTTTCAAGTTAAGGTTTTTTTTTTTTATCAAAGATAAACTATAACATTTCTACTTACAAACTAAAAATATCATACCCGTCATATAACCCACACACATATCCATCCAAAGGCTATCCGACGAGGTTAAGTTCAGACTAGTCAGCCGAAGTTGAACTCCATGCTTCGCAAAAGTATCAAACATATAGAAAGCTCCAACCACTTGGCGGTTTGTGCATATTTTACAAAAACTAATGACTTTTTATGATGATTAGCATAACATCCGTCCATACTTCTCTAAGGAATAATGTTAGTTTAACAAAAAAAACATAGAAATCAATTCATGTGATATTATTATAATAATATTATTAATTTTATTTTTAAATTAAAATTTGTCTTATTCTAATAATGAGTCTGGTTAGAATCAATTTAAATAGATAACTTTTAAGGTTTTTGAGTAAACCTTGACTTTTTTACTAGCATATGCAACAGTTTTTTGAACCCAAAAAAATTTATTTATGCTAATTCAAGAAATTAATTTTTTGTACTTTTCTTCTAGCTTTTCGAAATTTTGTTGTAGATCCCACATAATTTTTTAGTTTATTATATTCATAAAATATTATTAACAACTCAAAAAAATTTGAAATTAAGATGTTGGAAAGTAATATGCATATTCTATACATACATGTAATCATTTTTTTTTATTTTAATACAAAAAGCCAAAAAAACTAGAAAGCCATTTTAAATAGACATTCTAGTTTTTTAAAGAATGTTTCGAACGATTTTGGAAGACTTTTTTAAATTTATTTTTTTTACAAATTTTTTCAATTCACAGTTTTTTACCAAAAAAAATCAGCTCCAAAGAAGCCTAATATCACATCATTGGATTTCAATTTTTAATCTTTTTTTTAAGGTCAGTCTGGCATGGTTTTCCCCAGTTTGAAACTCTCAAAAACAAAAGGAAAAGGAGAAGGCTGTGAGAAGTGATAGAGATGGAAATAGTTTTCTATCATTTCGTTTTCACTTTACTCTTTAAACTATTGAATTTTTAACATCTTTCCCTCAACTACTAGAATTAATTTCATATAACAGAAACTTTCGCTATCTTTTTAGATTGAAATTGTCAGTTCAAAGTGAAATAAAATCACATATTTAGAGGACTATGAAACAATTTTTTTTGTTAAGTCTATTACAAACAGCAATCATTAAGACAAAGCGAAGCTAATACTATAAATGCAAGTGAAATACGAGAAACATATTAGTTGAAGGAATAATGTGAGAAAATTGTCATAATTGAGGGATCAAAGTATAATTTATTCCCAAAAAAAAAAAGGCAAATTCATGAGGGAAAATTCTTCTTCATCAACAGTACCCTCAGTGGAGAAAAGCTGTTCAAACCTTCTGTCCTATCATTTTGGCAAGTACAGTGCAACTAGACTTCAATGACGTCTATGTGATATGTGAACCACCTGATATTTGAGAATTATCACAGCAGGACAGTGCTGTCATGGAGCTCCAATCAGGAGGGATAGCTCCAATTTTTGGGTAGGTTGAAGTTTCACACCTAACTTCTCTCTCGCTCTCTCTCTATATAACCTCACGTTAACCTTCTCTTTTGCACTCAACATGCACAAAGCCTCAAACATATTGCAAACCTAACAACAGACACAAAGTTAGAGAGAGAGAGAGAGAGAGAGAGAGAGAGAGAGAGAGAGAGGCTGGTTGTGACAAACCCATGGAGAATAATGAGCAAGTTACTGCAAATAAGGAGCTTAAGCACAGAGGAGTCGCAGCCATGCCATTTGTTATAGGTAATACTTAAATTCAGAACTGCACATAGTATCAGAATATACGCCACAAAGATCTAGCTGACATTTTTTTCTTCTGTTACAATAAATAATCAACTATTACGATTGAAAATAAGTATTTACATAAGACGAGAAAGTATCCACATAAGAATGAAAAGAAGTGCGATAGAGGGGCTTAATATAACCCACAAAAAGCGGAAAATGAGAAATCAATCTTTATCTGAAACGAGCAATAACCCATTGGTTGGAAAAGCTTTGAGAGAATTAAAGGAGGTCAATTCATCGAAGTCCAGTTGGTTTTATTCTTCTTCTTCTTCTTCTAGCGTTGTCTTTCTTTTCAAAGCTCTAGGCACGCGCGTATTTGTGTGTGTGTGTGTTTTTTTTTCCTTATGACCAATCTAAATTGTTGCAGGAAATGAGACCTTTGAGAAGCTGGGGACAATTGGAACCTCAGCAAACCTCTTGGTCTATCTCACCACTGTCTTCAACATGAAGAGCATTACAGCAACTAATCTCATCAACATCTTCAATGGTACTTGCAACTTTGGTACTTTGCTAGGAGCTTTTGCCTCTGATACGTATCTTGGCCGCTATAAAACATTGGGAATCGCCTCAATCTCATCTTTCACGGTATTATTACTGCTACTTACAATCTTTCATCCTTCAAACATATTATAGTTGTAGATACACGGGTTTTACTTTTGTAGCTAGCTCTTTTTTCGAAGGAGAACATGGCACTTAGATACTTATTTTTAATATTTTATTTTATCATTTTCACGATTTATGGTTACAATTAACACAAACAAGATCCACAATTGCGGGATATTTTTTGGTATCCAAAAACTACGGGGCGGAGCCAAAGTCAGGCCAGGGTGGGCACAAATTTTTAACAAATTAATTTTTTTTTTTTACGATCAATAAAAATAGGACAATAATTTATATTTAATTAGATAATATTTAAAAGTTCATTAAATCCAACATACCAAAATTTGGTAAGCTTAATATATACAAACGACATTAAATTTTTTTTTAACAAAATATAGACTAATTAAAATTATTTTGAATTGACTCTGATGAATTTTCATACTTTGAAACCGTTGCATAATAATTTTATTATTTTTTATATGCACCATCATTTTATCACTTTGGTCTTTATATACATAACATGTCCAAAATGTGTTAAAAAAATTCATGTTTATTTGATATAAGTGTACACTAATTGATATGCCAAAAAAATAGGGTGGATTTAATTAAAAATATTGAAGAAATACTTGAAATACATAAAGCTAATGTTAAAAAAAAAAATTTGAGGTGGACATGTGACCCCCAGGCATATGCCGGCTCCGGCCATACTCTCTACTAAATCTATCAACTGTGCAAGGAATGACAAAAAAACCCCAAAGAACTGAGAAATGAGTTTTATTCTGTTTCTTCTGGTTGAGCAATTGGGAGTGCGTGAGACAAAGAGAAAAAAAAAAATAACTAATAAGATAAGTGTTACTAATGTCTGTCAAGTGGGGAAAAAATTTTATTTTTTTTAATAGGTTTGAGTGGATGATGATAAGTCAAAAATTTTAATTTTTAATAAGTTTTGGTAGATAGTGGTGGACTCAAATTTTTTTATTTTTAATGGACTTAATTTTTTAATTATTTTGAGTAAATAATGTGGGTCTAATATTTTTATCTTAGATTTTAAGTGAGCACAAATAATATATTATACAAATATATAATATATATATATATTTAACTAATAAAATAAAAATAAAAATTGAGGGGGGCATGTGCCCACCCTGGCCTACCCTCCCTCCGCCCTTGGTTCGGTATGTGACCTTATCCATAGATACATCTATGCTTGCTGTCTATTTTTTGTTTCCCTTTTTTCTTTTGTATAGTGCTAAACAATGAGGGTGGAGTTATTTTTATCCTTTAAATCTCTTTTTCACCTCATTTAATCATTTTATTTCAAATTATTAAGTTCACCCATTTATACTCATTCAATTAAATCATATTTTTGTCCCCTTCTCATAAACTTCTTTATATATATATATATATATATATATATATTGTCAGTATAAACGTGTGGGTGTGGGTGTGGAGAGAGAGAGAAAATAATGCTATGGATATATAATATGATAGAATACAAAGGTATCTCCTTACAAGAATCTTCCGTCATAGAGAAAACAGTTGACAATAAAGTCATACCAATACGAAATTTGGCTTAGTTGAGAATTCTAAGGTATATCTTTGCAAGGTTTTTTATTGTTTAAGGGGACAATGTGAAGAAATTGTAAGGGAATGATTTTTCCTTATTTACTTATATAATAAAATATATTGTAATTTGAATTTTTATCTCCTATATATTTTCTCTTTTAAAAATATAGCAATGTATAACGTGCGTTGCACGTAAATAAATTTTAATAATTTTTTTTATAAAAAATGTGAATTATATGTGTAATTAAATTAAATAATAAATTAAGTACTGAATAATTAATCTGTATTTTAATTATTAAGGTATCTCTTCAATCCTTTTATGCATTTGCATATCTAATTGTATTATAGAATTATTAATTTTTACTTTGTTAAATAGATTGATTAGATCACTTATAATGTTATTATAATATTACATACCAAAAAATAAAATATAACATATATTTGACCATAAAATTCAATTTGGTAACTTCATGTGTATAATAATTTAATATATATAGGACTTTAATTTTTATATAAATCTAAAAAATTGTATATAATTGTACTACTAATAAATGAATTCAAAAGAATTTAGAAGTCCTTATAGAAGAGTCTAAAATAAATTGAAGGTCAAATAAGAGTAAAAAACGAAAATTAGATGAAAGCATATAGGGGTATAATTGACTTTATTATAATAATTAGGGATAAAATAATAAATCAAACATTTTTCGCAGATGCTGAACTTCATGTGTATAATAATTTAACATATATATGACTTTACTTTTTCATATAAATCTAAAAAATTGTATATAATTGTACTACTACTAAATGAGTTTAAAACAATTTTGAAGTCCTTACAAAAGAGTCCAAAATAAATTGAAAGTCAAATAGGAGTAAAAAAATAAAAATTAGATGAAAGCATATATGTGGATATAATTGACTTTATCATAATAACTAAGGGTAAAATAAGAAATTAAAAATTTTTCGCAGATGCCGACATTTATAAGTAATATAGATATAGATATAGATATAAATTATATCGCTCATTTCTATCACATATTTAATAATTTAATATTTAATTAATTTATAGTATACACATATTGAAAAAATTTAATACAGTAAGATCAATATTTTAGGCGCTCAAATTTTATATTTCATTGTCCCTTCAGGCACGGAATATAACTAGTGCAGTAGATCACTTTAGAAAAATATAGCAATTAAATATGTTTTTACCTTTTTTTGGTTGAAATTGTATTTTTGCTTTAAAAAAGTTGCTCTAAAAAAAAATTGGGCAAATTACATTTTGACTCCGTTATCTACGGACTCAATTCTATTTTGTCCTTTGAACTATTGAACACCTCGCGTCATCCCTCTATGAACTGGGAAATCATGGGTACAATAAATAGTTTACCAAAAAGTTGCTCAACAGATGAATGGTTTGATACCGCCAAATGATCCTAGTTAAAAAAAAAAAATTGTCTAATGATCAATTTTTTTTGATTTTCAACAACACATAGATCCAATCATCCATATTGATTTGGTAAAAAATATGATGAAGGATTTAGTAAGTGTCGCAGTGTATTTAGCATTCTAGAAAAAGAATATCTATTCTATATATTTAGGTCTATCAATCATATTGGGTGAAGTGAGTTCAGGTGTTACTGAGTTCATGTTAGAAAACATTCTATTCATACTCGATTCGTTTATTAATTCATGTCTGACAAGTAGTGTTATATCGAGTTCGTAACGTAGATGAATCGTATATAACCGACATTTAAAAGAGTCGTGTCATGTATTTCTTTTGATTAATTTCACTCATACTTGATTCGTTTATTAATCATGTTATGTCAGGTCTACTTGTTTGTGAAATTAGTAACTCAAGGAAGACTCAAATCCTCTAATATTGTTTCGTATTAATAAGTCGTGTCATATTTTAAAACTCGTAATAACACTGTCTAATGATCAAGCTTTTTCTATTGTTCAACAACAGGGGATGCTTGTGCTAACACTAACAGCTGCAATTACCAATCTTCATCCTCCTCAATGTGGAACAGAGAGCAGCACATGCACAGGGCCAACAGCATGGCAAATGGCCTTTTTATTAACCGGATTCGGACTACTAGTAGTCGGAGCTAGTGGGATTCGACCATGCAACTTGGCGTTCGGAGCAGACCAATTCAATCCCAATACAGAGTCTGGCAGAAAGGGAATCAATAGTTTCTTCAATTGGTACTACTTCACCTTCACTTTCGCCATGATGGTGTCATTGACAGTCATTGTCTACGTGCAATCGGACGTGAACTGGGCGCTCGGCCTGGCCATTCCCACGTTTCTAATGTTCCTTCATGTGCATTCTTCTTCATTGGCACGAGGATTTATGTCATGGTGATACCGGAGGGTAGTCCCTTGACAAGTGTGGCACAGGTCATCGTGGCTGCTAGCAAGAAGAGGAAGTTGAAGTTGCCAGACCAACCATGGGGCTCTCTGTTTAACCATAAGCCCACTAATTCTATAAATTCTGAGCTTCCTTACACAGATCAATTCGGGTAACCAACCCTGCTTTTGCTCTGTAGCAGTCAATATGATTAGCTTATAGTTGTTAGTTTGTCACTAAACTGAGTAATAGTAGGTAGAATGGAATTTTTTGGATGATCAACTGGAAACTCTAATTGGGGATATTAAACAATCCAAATAGCTGGAGCTTGACCCAAGCTCAGACTACTTCTAATTCATTCAAATTGTAAAATGAATCAAAATAAACAAGCTAAATTTAAGCAGTGTGTGGCATAACTCGAATCGAGTTGATTGGAATTTTTATTGAGAGATTGAGCTTGATAGCAACTTGACTTTGGCTCAAATACTCTTGAACTTCTACCAATCCGAACTTAAGCAAGAATCTAAGCTTCTAGTCTACCTCGATTAACACTCCTAACTCTAGTCAATCCCAAAATGATTTCAGATTCGTGAACAAAGCAGCGATCATAACTCCACAAGACGAAATCAAAACAGATGGATCAGCAGTGGATCCATGGAGACTCTGCAGCATACAGCAAGTGGAAGAAGTAAAATGCTTGTTGAGACTGATTCCCATATGGATTGCAGGCGTTATCTACTATATTGTTCTAGTCCAACAACAAACCTATGTAGTCTTCCAAGCCATTCAATCTGATCGACGCCTCGCCAACACGAATTTCAAGGTCCCAGCAGCATCCTACACTGTCTTCTCCATGCTAAGCCTCACTATCTGGATACCAATCTACGACAGGATCATAGTACCTTACCTTCAAAAACTCACGAAAAAAGAAGGCGGTATCACAATCCTTCAAAAAATGGGGATCGGCATGGTTCTCGCCATTGTCACCATGATTGTATCAGCTTTAGTCGAAAACAGGAGGAGGACCGTGGCTTTTACAAGGCCAACACTAGGAATTGTGCCAAGAAAGGGTGACATTTCTTCCATGTCCGGTTCTTGGTTAATCGCTCAGTTGACACTGGTAGGACTTTCCGAGGCGTTTACTGTTATCGGACAAGTCGAGTTCTTTTACAAGCAGTTCCCAGAAAACATGAGGAGCTTTGGAGGCTCTTTCTTGTTTTGTGGCTTTGCAATGTCAAGTTACTTGAGCAGTTTCTTGGTGTCGATTGTTCATCAGGTGACCAAAAATTCAACAGGAGGAAACTGGTTAGCAGAAGACCTTAACAAGGGAAGATTGGACTATTTTTACTACATGATTGCTGGTTTGCAGGTAGTGGATTTGGGGTACTTTCTGGTATGTGCAAAGTGGTATAAGTATAAAGGAACAGGAGGCAACACTGGTGAAGAAGTGGGCATGGGAAATTTACATTCTGGAAAACCTTTTGTTTGATAGATTAGTAGATAAAATTTTATTATCATATTGGTGAATCCTCCTGGTTCAGTGCCAAACCACAGTGTTCAGAAATTACTCTAACAGGAAGTTAAAGCAATGTGGTCTGTAAGAATCAAAAACATGTTTTACACTCTTCCCCCAAATTCTTCACACCAAATAGTAAAGATTGGTCTACTTGTTTAACTTTTGTTTATTTTATTGAATAGAAAGCAAAACGGGTTAATAGTATTTTTTATTTTTAAAGTAAACTCGTTTGGTCTTCGATGTATCAATTTGATCCCTGAAGTTTTCAATTCGTGTTTAAATGGTCCTCCCTACACAGATAGATCATTAGTTTTTTGACAAAATTGACCATGTGTCATTCTTTTAAACGGTATCATATGATCATTTTTGTCAAAACTTAACGACCCGGCTATGTAGTAACCATTTAAACACGAATTATATATTTTAAGGATCAAACTGACAAAAAGAACATACTTTAAGGACAAAAAATGCTATAAACCTAAAAAAAAAGATAGAACTTCTATTTTCCTTGATTGGGTTTTCTTCTAATTCTGTTTGATTCAGATTGATTGATAATTATTTCTAGTTTTTTATTTTTTAAGGGTTAAAGCATGATGTAAAAGAACAAAAAATGTAAATTATGCTTTGACCCCCTCAACTAAGTTCCAGTATCATTTTGATACGTCAGCCATGGAGTTTCTAACAATACTCCCGGAAACGACTCGACTTGGTTTCACAATGCACCAACACTACTTTTGACATATTTTTGGACAAAAAATGTCTAAATGTAATAAAATAAATGTTTCCGATGGCTACAAGAAGGGCGATATGAAACTAATAACAATAGTCGGAAGTAACATTCACATTTTTCATGTTCAATCTGACAATAACAGTTCATTTTGTTCTTGAAATTAAATCCCCAATTACACCAAATATATTGCTTTTAACACTCAAGGATTCCCAGACTAAGCGCCAGGAGTTGCTGAGGCACATCTACCTGCGTTCGGACAAGTTGAATTTTACTACAAGCAATTCACAAAAAACATGAGAAGTTTTGCAGGGTCTTTGTTCGTCAGTGGCATGGCGGCCTCAAGTTATTTGAACAGTTTCATTGTGTCGATAGTTAATCACAGAACAAAAGGTGTTTGGGCAATAGCAGTACTAGAATAAGTGACCCTCTTGGGAAGTCCTCATATTGCATCACTTTTTTAAGAAAAATCACAAAACGAAAGGGGCTGAATCTGAAAATTGGTTGCCAGAAGAACTTGGCAAAGGGAGATTGGATTGTTTCTATTACCTGGTTGGAATGGAAACAAAGAAACAGGACAAAATGTGGTTGGATAATTGAAGTTCACATTAGACATGAAAGGATTGAACATGAGCCTTCATGTTCTTTTCTCTCTAGTTTGTTGGTAAGTTGTATCAGGATGTTAGGCCACAGCCTCTTCCCTAAGTCCTAATTACAGAGACTAGATAGTATTATCTCAACGGCGTCTACTTCCACTTAACACAACTCAACCAAGCATCGGCTATCAACAACGTCTACCTACATCCTACAATTTTTGTAATTATAATTCTACCGGCAATGTATTACTGTTAACTTTGATCAATCAAAGAAAAGTAAGAAGAAAGAAGAGAATATTTTTGAGGTACAATTAGGCAGAACAAAACTTAAAGAAAAACTAAGATATTTTTATATAGTAAACTAAGCTAGGGTAATATAAAAGAAAACAAATGACTAAACTACCCCTAAGTCTAAATATAATAACTATTCTAACATCTTCCTTCAAACTCATGATGTGGTAACATTAAACATCAAGAGTTTGCTAAGAAAAAAATGGTGTTATGAAGGTCATAGCATGATACTCAGCTTCAACAGATGATCGAGCCATAATAGTTTGTTTCTTACTTTTCCACGAAATAAGACAATCATCAATGAAGAGACAGAAACCAGTAGTGGACTTGTGATCCATAGAGTCACTAGCCCAATCCACATCAGAGTAAGCACGAAGTTCCAAAGACGATCAAATAGCAATGAGAGGTCCAACAGAAAACCAAAGTTCAACAAAAACCACCAGCAACAATGCTCAACAAAACAAATCCCAACAAAGAAAAAAAAAACAAATCAGAACTAGACCCAAACCAACAATAGTCAAAATCAGAAACTAGAACCAAAAGAAGTAGCCAACGCCAAACAATTCAAAGTTCACCACAAATCAACTTAACAACTTTGCAAATCAAATACTCACTCAGCAGTTTGTTCACAAAATCAGCCCCAAAGGCTCAAACCCACAAATCAAAAGTAGAAACAAAAGTTTCCTGCTTATTCAGTGCGAAATAATGCAACGCTATGTCAAATAACAAGCTCAAACAAACAAATCAAAAACCAGCAACGTGACAACTCACCAATGCACAAAATCAACCAATCAACAAACCAGTCCAAAAGCCTAAAGCAGCAACAACAGCAGCAAACGAAGAAGAAACAACCAGACTAGCAACCAGAAGAAGTAGAAGAAGAAGAAGCACCAGCAGAAGAGAAGAGACAACAGCAAGTCAACAAAAATAGCAATCCAAACAGCAGATCCCAACGTACCAACTTCACAAACCAGAAACCAACAAAGAAGCAAACGTTCAATAGGCCTTAATACAAGCATCTCGAGCCAATAAATCAAACCATCAATCTAGCAACTAGACAACCTAAATTTCATAACTTTCAAAAGTTCAGAAGACAAACAGAGGTAGCAAAATAGCAAGACAGTGGCAAAACATCAAAAAGACACTAAAAATAAAAATTCAGCAGTGTTCACAGCATGAACAGTAACGTCGATACCGTTCACAGCGTGTGAACAGTACTTTTGGCACGTTCATCCAGTGAACAGTGTTCTAGCTTTGTTCTCCGCCCTTGGAATCACAAAAAAATAACAATCCACCAATCACTTGCCCTCAAATCACACAACTCAATAATATATTCTTCCTCCAACTAAATTAATGTGGTGCTACAATATATATTTTGGATCGAAACCATACTCTCATATCATGTTAACTTTGATCAATCAAAGATAATAAGAGGAAGAAATAAGATAATACTATTGAGACACAATTAACCAGAACAAACCTTAAAAAAAACTAAGAGGTCTTTATATAATAAACTAAACTATGGCAACATAAAAATAAATAAATGACTAAACTACCCTTAAGTCTAAATATAATAACTATTCTAACAATTACCATGGCTACATTATGTCCTTGCATCCCAAATCCTAGGCCATTGGAAACGATTGGTTCTTAAAATGTTGACAATCCGTAATTGATGAATCCCTAGTTTCTGGTTGTTGAAGCTAAAAAGCAAATTCCTCTAAATTGATGAATCCCTGGTTTCTGTTCGAAGAGATAAGACTGCGTACATCTAACTCTCCTCAGACTCCACAATAGAAGAAATCTTGTGCACTGAGTACATCTTTTTTGTGCTTTTCATGTACCCTCTAAAAGAAGTTAGATATAGACCTCAACTAGAAAGAGCACAAGCAATATAAAAGACTAGTCATAACCTGTGTTTGAAAGCACGATAGAATAAAAATTCGAGTCCTAAAAAATATATATCACTATATTAAATAAATTTTTTTTCTTTCATTTGTTTGATTAAGTCATTCAAATTTTATTTTTACCCATTATTTTTTTAAAGATATTGACAAAATTTTCTCAAAATATGTAATTTGATATATTTTTTTAACAGATGTATACTATCATGTATGGATAATATCTGAAATAAAATTATGTTAAATTATAAATTAATCAAATATTAAATGGTTGAGCATGCGATAAAAATGAGTGATGTGATAGTTTTGGGGGGCTAAAAAATGTATACGAGATAAAATTCAACTTCTTGTGTGTTTTTATTATATAGATTTGTATAGATATGAAGGAAAATTTCATTCAGATCCCCTGTAGTTAAGTCTAAATTCAATGACACCTCATTCTGATTTAAAATTTCACTGTCACTCCCTGTTAGTGATTGTCAAGTTATACCGTTAATGACAATGGTTGATTTATAGAAATATCACCGAGTATTTTATAGGGTAAATTTTATCCACACCCTTTATAAATAAACTTAACTTTAACAATATTCCTTGTAAATAGACCTAACTTTAACAACACCCCTTCTTGATTCTGAAATTTTAATACACTCCTTTTTAGTTCTATTTTATTAGCCTTTATTTTGATCAATTTAATATTCAATTTATTAAATTAATTTTTTTTATTTAATTTAAACTAAATTAACATTTCATCTCATCAAATTAACACAAAATTGATATTTAATTTTATCAAATTAGCATTTAGTTATATTAATTTAATATTTCATTTCATGAAATTAATATTATTTCTTTAATTTAATATTAAGTTATTGTTTATTTTTATCAAATCAACATCAAATTGAAATTCAATTTTATAAAATTAAACTATTTAATTTATTAAATAGAATATTAAATTCCATTAATTTAAAATTTAACCTTATCAAATTAATGTCATTTCTTTAATTTACATCAAATGAACATTTAGTTTTATTAAAACAACATTCAAATTTATTCAATTAACATTAAATTCAATCAAATTAATACTAAATTAATATTTAATTTTATCAAATTAAAACTAATTTAATATTTAAATTTATCAAAATTAAGATCAAATTTATTCAATTAATATTAAATTTTATCAAATAATTTTAAATTTTATATATGAAGTATGATGTGTGAGGAGCGGTCGGGCGACGTCGTGGAGTACATATGATAGCAGAGAAATTAGAAATGAATGAGATTTTAACATTGACTTTATCAATTGTAATTTTTATTATAGAAAAATCATTTTTAACTATAAAAATTATTATGATAAAAAAATATAAAAATTATAAAAACTTGATTATGTAACCAAATGAGTAATAATATGATGACTAATATTATAACAAAGTAATAATATGACGTTTTAAAATAAAAAATTTATTGGGATAATATAATGATTAAAATTACGTTTGTTGGCTGGTTAGCGCATATATAATGGAAAAGAAATTGATGACATTTTAGTCTATTTACATAATAAAGAGTAATTTAATATTTTCATAAAAGATTTAGTTAAATCATTATTTTATCTACTGATAGATACAAAAGTTATTGTTACAGGGGTTGTCATTGAATTTAGACTCAACCACATAGTGTTTGGATGAACTTTCCCTAAGATATAACATGTACATATAGTATGTCTTCGATTTTTGTACTGTATATATGTATAGAAAACATGTGTGTATGATATGAACAGTAAAGATGAAGAACAGCTGTATTATGATAAAATTTTGGGGAGACCAGTGTCTCGATTTGAAAAAAGAATCATGAAAGATGAGAGTGTAAGACAATCAATGTCTCAATATAAAAAGTAATCCCTTAACATAAGAAATAAAATCAGAGAAATAACGGTAAGAGTTGTAATCTGTATTTTAGGGAGAGAGAGAGACAGAGTTGAAGAATGAGAGATCGCTTAATTGCCGGATTTGATTAGATTAGAGAATTAAATTTATGAATATTAGTTTTGGAAACAAAAAGTTTTGAGCGACAAAAATTTTCGAAAGCTAATATGGTACATCAGATCGAAACAATCTAAGACATCAATAGCTCGAAAATAATTGAAATATCGTCGGTCGTTGGATGATGCCTTTTTTGATCTCGAAACGATCTGACCCGCTCTTTATCTCTTGAATTCAAAATCGTTCTACTTTATTATATAGATTAGAAAACAACGAAGACCAAATAGCCTTACCATATAAACTTTACTCTGACACAGTTAAGAGCTATTTGTGCAAGTGTTGCTGGGTATATTGAGAACCAAGACATGAATAAAATTCAGATGAACAAGTGCCAACAAGAGCATTAAGTGCTGAAATGGATAACAAAGTTGCAATAACTGAACGGTTTTTCAACGGTAACTCACAGCTATAGTTGATTATGTCCTCTCTCTCAAGAAGGGTAGAAGGCAACTATCAAATAGGTTTATCTCCTTAGACAGTGTAAGATTGTTGTATCGTTTCTATGTCGAGACCCTTTAATCTTACCACTGATTCAACATGACCTTTCAGTGTGTGTAGTTCTCTCAACCTGCAACAGGTGGGGAAAACAAAACCAAATATATCAGAAAAATACATTTAGGTTTCTGTGCAACAAAACCAGGATCCCACCAATCCAAGAAACATATCTTCTACAGCGAAAGGGATCTGAACGAGATAGAATCTTTGACTTAACTAAAACGTGGCTGAAAAGAAAGATTGAGCAATGACCTTATCAATAGAGGGATAAGGACTGGAACACATTTAAAAAAATTTACTTCGTATCCAATGAATGACTCTTGCCCATCTTTAGGCGATTTTCCAGACACATCACAATGATTTTCTTTCCTTCTTTTTCGATAGCAAACATCTTAGTAAAATAGTGGATACTTGTCCCTTAGTACACGGATAAACTGAAACCGTACCTTGTAATTTCAGCTCTCCTTTTGGCATCCTCAGCTATCTGATTGAGGTCTGTGAAATTGGATCGATCATTAAATAATTTGGTGTCAGGTACTTGCAGCCCATGTAGGGTTCTTTGCGCATGTGCCCATGCTAGCTCACGTTGTTCCTTTCCAAAGTCCTTTTTCTTGTGAAAGCAATCTGTGAAACAAAGGAAGCAATCAAATCAGGACCATCGGATAAAAGCTAAATAACAAGTAAAGGTGGGACAAACGTTGTTAACAAGAAACACTATCAGATCTATCATTACAGCAATTGAGTGACATGCATACCCTTTGCTCAAGAACAAGATCCCAGGCCCTCCCACTAAGAGCATAGCGGATGAAGAACTTTATGAAGTCAAGCGGGAAGTAGAATACTAAATTGTAAAGCCAAATCACCCCAGCCCAGCCCCATCCAATTCCTTCAATTGCAGCAAAGCCCCAATTTGCATAAACCGCAATCAAAGTAGCGATCTATTCATGATGAACACAGAAAATTATATTGGCATTTATTATACAAAATGAATTGGAACTGAAATGATGGCAGTTAGCTCACCAGTTGAGCAACACACAAAAGCCACCACAAGCAACAAACCAGGACGCTCGATGTATGACCAGCTTCGAGCTCGTGTCACAAATATGAGGGCCTGACTGATAGTGCTCACTTGAAGATATATAGCGGAAGCCAGCTTTCTAAAGTCGTCATGAGCCGTTTTCTCAGAGTTGACACCCCAAATATCGCTGGAAAATTATGAGAAGAGTAATTCAAAAAAAATAAATTAAAAAGGATCAAACACCAGCAACGAACACTCTCAGCAGCTTGATGCATGCCAAAAATAGAAAGTACAAATTCTT